CTCCGTCCTCTGATTGGCTGTTATAACTTTGACTTCGGTTTTTACGACACTCAATCGAAAAAGTTATCTTAGATTTCCACACATGTAAAAATTGGAGAAAGGGAGAGAGATTGCATGGGCAAGCCATCAAGCTAGCTTTTAAAGTATGAAAGATGACACCCAAGACAAGAAAACCTTCCCTTTTCTGGTCTCACGCATGCTCGCATAGCTCATAGCCTCATACTTTCCCGCGGGCGCAGTAACGATCGTGCGCAAGCGCTAATAATCTTGGCCTGCTTGCACGATCTCCAGATGGCGTATTTGCGAATCAAGCACCGGGCGCATGGCGGAGAAATGCTTGTGTGTACTAAGCTCTAGTATTCGCGGAAGACAATTTATTTTGTATACAGGTTGGACAATGGTTTTCAAGGTTGTATCTGGCGTCTCGGCTAACGGTAAGAGCAGCTCACAACTATGGTCTTCCCCGGAGACGATCAATGAAAATAGATCAGAGGCGTTGAACATCGATTCTTCATTCAGAGAACATTACAAGAACCGCTTTGTGCCAAATTGGCACCTTGCAAAACCCAAAGAGGTAAGTCTGTCTTAGTCGCCCATGACAAGTTCTCTTAGTCATGCATAGTTGACTTATGAGTGACTCAAACAGAATTTCTCCTTCAAATATCGATACAATACCAAGCACCCAAGTGATTAGAAATAAAAAAAAGTATCAGTTAGGGGCCGGGACTTTTAGTCGATCCAACACCAAATTCTCCAAACTCACATCATAAGAAATATATGGCAGACAGTAAGGAGAATTACCAATGAGATCTCGGTAGTGAAAGGGTTATCAAAGACTTCTTATGACGCGTATTCAGAATTCATTTAATGCTTTAATGCGTAGTAAAGCAATGGTCCATGCCAAATATTATCTGGAACTGAGAAACTTTACCTCATTTATATTCCGTTTTCTGATTGGTTTAAAAAGATCGCATCATCTATGTCGCCAATCAGATTTAAAACTGAAACCATTTTAGACATCTGTATCAGACCCCTTCTTTCTTCGCATGGTCACTTTTTGCCATCGCCATTATTGACCGAGAATCTAGAATCCTAGGTACGCTCATTATATACTGTATGAGGGGGGTGGAGGGAGAGGAATCTGTTTATTTCACAATAAAATTAACCTAATCCCCCATGGGACTCTGTAGTATTTTGATGATTCCCCTAACTCGCTGGCAGTCAAACGTCTAAAGTCTCTCCTCTACACTCCATTGGCGACGACTGATCCCCCCTCAGTCTCCCCACCCGAATAAAAAATGACTAGTCCCTCACTGATATAATTTGTTTTTTTTAAGGTGCAGATAGCTTTGTACAGACGGAATGGCTCAGAGACCCTTTATATCGTATTCGACTCTACTAGTTCTGACAACAAAAACTGGTTTTCCAAAAGTCGGATCGTTCACTCTCCGTGGAGAGATTTGGAAAGCGAGCACCAGAATTACTTCTCGATCGAGGGCTGTTGCTCTGGAAGGGATTTCTACATTTCCAGAAATCATGGCAGCTGCCATGATGCAGGATGGCTGGCTATTACTGTGAGTGCCTGTGGATGGGAGAAACGTCTTCCTCCTTTTACTGTTTTGTACAGTAACAGGACGACATACACGAGTTGGAATCAGTTCGGTAAGATTCGCGAACAAGCTATAACGTTCTTTGGTCAAGTGTTGCAAAATCACTGCTGCAAACTAATCAAAAACCTCGTGGTGTGATTGGTCCAGAAAACTCGCGCCACTATCTCAACCAATCAGATTCAAACCAAAAACCAACAGTAATTTGACGACTCCCGTTTTCCTGCGCTCTAAGCATTTTATTTTTTTACTCTACGTTCTGATTGGCTCCTGCTGAACCCTCTGCTTTTTTGTAATTGGTTGTTGTGATTACTTTGCATTTCTGTTAAGGACAATCAATCAAAAAGTGCTTTATAGCACCACTTTCACATTTTATATTCGAGCCTATTCGCATTCCATTGAGAAAAGAACAGTATTTCTCTTCCTCTATAAATAGATGTATTGGTCACCAGGGAGTTTAAAACTAATGTCCTGATAGTTTAAATTTTATCGCTAACTCAGCGTTGGAGGAATAATCAGTTAGCCTCCCAGGACGTAAGAGGACTGGGAATGGCGCAGAGATGAGAGCACTGTCTTCCCACCGCTGTGGCCTGGGTTTGATCCCCGGACCAGGTGTCACCAGCAGGTTGAATGTATTTTAGGTTCTCTTCCTTGTTCTGAAGGTTTTTCTCGGGGTCCTCACTCCGGGTTTTCCTCCTCTCGCGAAATACCAACATTCTAAATTAAAGTTTGACCTGGAAACAATGGACAGGAAGAGCCACCTCATGGAATGTTGTCCGCTTAAAATTTCCATTATTCATCCTAACGACCACAAAATTACAAAATTTATAGTTCCATTTATATCACTAAGAATAATATGTCATTATTTTTTATCGCACAGGAAATGTTGGAGTCGCAGATTTGTTTGTGGTGTATATTCGTTAATAATTTATAAGATAAGGTAAGTTGATTATTAGAATTATTTGGAACAATAAATATTCAAACTGTGTATGGTTTTGAATATGGTTTGCGCATGTGTAGAGAAGTAAAGGACAGGGGAAGGACTATAATGGACACACCCAGCCTAGGGTGGAGCTCAATGAGAAGATGGGGTCTAGATGTTTGCAACCCCCTTAATGGGTTTTGAGTTGCACCCATCCCCCCCCCTCGTCTAACCGAACAATTAATTTGAGCTACCCTTTATTGAACTTAGATAAACCAAATGAAAACCTGATGTGAACATGTAACATTTAACAAATAGAGAAGCCTTAACTATGCTCTGTTCTGTTGTAAAGGATGAAGGAAGCGGCTTAAGCACAAAATAAGTGTAGGGAGAGCACTTCTTGAGTCCACTACCACCGAGATGCAGAGAGCTCCGTTATGACCTCGGCCAGGCCTCAGTTCATATGCAACGCGGGTCGTGCAAAACACATTACAACAATTCTCTCTCCTAGATATCGCTGACCGAGTTAGAAACATTAAAACCTGATAAATATTCAAGTTAAGTTATATATTTAGTAAGAATTTGCCAGGTAAAATAGAAATGTGTCATACTCAGTTTACTTCAAAGACTGTAGATTATAAATGACTGCAAATACATGAAAATCATGATATATGTGAACTGCGATTGAAGAAACGAATATAAAAGCGATCCTCGCAGATATGAATACTACTGAACTAGTAGTGAAAATAAGAACTGAAAAAAAAAACTCAGGCCCGTACGAGATTTGTACCCAGAGGTCGTGGGAGGTTATGGGAGATCATGGGTTCAAATCCCGTACGGGCTTGAATTTTTTTTCAGGCCTTATTTTCACTACTAGTTCAGTAGTATTCATAACTACAAGGATCGCTTTCATATTCTTTACTCTAAAGTATTTTCTTTTTATTGGATGCTTTAAGTAAAAAAGGATTACCGTAGTTTTTTTTTGAGAACATGAAACTCTATGACTGGTCCAAAATAAAAAATCGTAAGGAACTCAATAGAACTCAAAATTTCACATTTCCTCACGAAGCTTCGCTTCTTGGCCAGATCATGATTTGCTTTTTGGAAAATCTCTCAGCCGCGGACTTTAAGTTATCAGCTGATATACCAGCCCCTTGAAGAGAATATTTAGTATTATATAAGTATAATTTAAAGAAATGTAAAAGTTAGGCCATCGAAGTTTACAGTGATTTCAACTTTGCTTAACCTATCTGCCTAGGTTATTTTGTTATCAGATGTATGATAAACCCTCTCCATATAAGGACATCATATCATGAGCGTTGAAGTCTTGTGATAACAGCAGTTTTAATATTTTCAACACTGCACTTCTTGTAGCGTAAGGAAAACTAAAAACTGATTAAAAAAACAATTTTCCGTGTAAAGTGTGGTTTATGTGACTTTTATACAACAAAACATTTACAACAAATTTTTTCTGCTATTTAGAGTCAGCCCAAACTGTTTCTTTGATATACCTATTTTGTATTTAGTTGACAAAATTCCAAGGATCTTAGTTGTAAACAAGAAGGTTTGGGGTTATGAAAAATGTCATAAATAACAGGGTGGGGCTAAGATTTGTTCTAAGGTGCATGTACCTATAAGTTAATGTTAAAGGTAATCCGAATAGGAATTCCTTGAAAGAATTGAAAGAATCGAGTTGAAGTTTCGGTTTACTACGATCCTAGAAGCTGAAACACATAAACACATTTCTCCTAAAGAATTGTTTAAATTGAATCATAATGAAGAATATAACAGCACCTTTCTCCATTTGACTTGAAGAACCTGCTACCGAGCAGCTTTATGGTATTTTTCAAAATTTTGCCTTGGCTTAAACTTAGACTTTCAATCCAGGGTTTTTACCATCTGTTCATCGACAAAAAAAGTTTTGACTGCTGAAATTTTTTTCTGTGGATTCTGGAGTATATATCCTACTATAATCTAGCTTTGAACTAAGGTGGAGGCAAAGTTTCTTTGCAGTTTAACTCTGAGACTTGTAAACGTGCTGAACTGCAGATTTAAGACACATTATCGTTGCTTAACGAATATATACCACCATAACATCAGCGGTGCCCATGTTTTCTGAGAAGAAACAAATTAGAAATCACTTTTAATTACCACACTACTCCAATATAAGCTGAAACACAAGCCCAAAGCATACTCAAAATGTTGCTTTTTTCAAAATGTTTTCAATCTTGAAAATTTTTTAATCCCCTTCGAAAGTGTCCGTAATTTACTTGAGTGAGGTGCAAGATAACTTTTTTTTATCAATTGATTTGATAATTTAAATTGGCCACCGTAAAGAGTTCTTAAAGCTGACGTTTCGAGTGTTAGCCCTTCGTCAAAGCGAAGGCCTGAAATTATACGCGTGATTTCAGAAAGTTTTCTTTCATTTTCAAGTAATTTGATTGGTTACCTTAAACAAGGCTTGAAATCTGGGTGGTTGTTGTTTTTAAGAAAATCTTTCTCATTGGTTGGGAAAAAGATGCGACTGATTTCGAGTAAAAATTGTGTGCTTCGTGAATCAACTGCACCTGTGAGAGCCGCTAAGATTGCAAGGGTCACCAGGGATTTCAAAGTGGATGTTTTCAAGCGGTAAATTGACAGTTACCAGCTTCCTTCATTTTCCCTTACCTGTGCGTTTGAAGGAAGTATAGGTCGTCAGTTTACTGTACAATGTGGTTGATTCCGGATATTTTCCCTCCCAGTCACAATTTGCGGAAGCTGTGGCGAGCCAACCTGCATCTTCAGAACAGCCTCCATGGTTCCTGACGATATAGAAGTCTCTTTTAGTACAGCAGCCTTCGATTGAGAAGTAAAGAAGCGGTTCAGTATTGAGATCTGTCCAGGGAGAGTCAGTGACGCGAGTTTCTGAGAACCAATTGACGTTGTTAGAGCTTGTAGAATTGAAGACAATAGAAAGATCTTCTTTCCCTTCTGTGTACAGCGCCACTCGTGCCTGGAAGCGAGAAAAAAGGAAATGAATCCATAAAGGAAACAAAAAATGAAGGAACATCCCACGAAATTGGAGAATTAACCACGTAGACCTCTTCGGAGAAAGTGCCTCGCTCCCAGAGGTCCGTGGGAGAGTAGTAAGGATAATTCAAGTTGCGTTATACTAAAGCTGAACTGGAGTGGAAGCTGCACCAGTTGCTCTTGTTTGCAGACTCGACCTTTCAGTGACAACGATGCTTGATTTCCCCTCGCCACTGTCCAATGACGAACATCATTTTAAAAGTCATGAAAGCCTAAAACATCTGTGTAGATTACCTCATCTCTGCAACGAGAATTTCATTCATAACTATGTCGCTACTCCGAGCCTTTAATTTAAATTAATAATAATTATCATTAAATTACAAGTCTACCTCGGTAGGGTTCACAGTCTGCCAGTTCGTCACCATGCGGTTCTTGTAATGAGCTTTTAAATCTGAATTGGTGGTCAGTGCTTCTGGTTTGTCTTCGTTCAAAACACTCGACGATGTCCATAGCTGGTGAGGAATAGTGGAAACGCCGGACACCAGTTTAAAAACCATCGTCCAACCTGTAAGATAGAGGATGGTTTGTCATCGACAAGAGGTAAATAAGGTAAAAAAGGTTACGATAAGTGATCGCTGTTAATGAAGTTGTATATTAAGTATTATCGTTTTGTTAGAAGCTGTACGATACGTTAATTATTCTCAATTTTATTGACATTTATAAGGGATTTCGTTTATTTATACATAACTTGGCAAACATGTATGCGGCACGTGTTTTATCGTCCCATGCATGGTACTGTTCCATGTGCTTACAACGGGACCTTCAGTGTGTTTCCTTCGAACAAGCCGAGAGTTGTGAGTGGGAGTCAACCGAAGCATAGGGGCAAAATTGTTGAATCAAGCGAATAAATCGTGAGTTTATAAGGAAACGTGGTACAGCTTTTTCACGTTTTCGACAGTTTGTCTCACGATGAAGCCATTTCCTATGTGGATTGTAACGTTTTCTGTCAATAAGGTCGAATAGATGCGCATCACGTTATGAAGCTTTCGTCTCAGGAATACCGCCCCATCACACCTTAAAGTATTTTTGAATGAAAACTCATTAGCGCGAGTAGGGCCTCAAAAGTCCACGTTTAAGATGGCAGACGTTTAGGTAAGTGAACGCATTTCGATCTTGTGTCGTAAAACCAAACCGGAGTTATCACTGCAGCCAATCAGAAAGCCAATGAGAACCCAAGTTAAAAACAACCAAACTGTGTAAAGTGCTGGAAAACGCGGGGGACAAAGTCATGATTGGATTTAGTTTTGCACTTGATTGGTTCAAAGAGTGGTGCAAGTTTCCGGACCAATTACAGAGCGAAGTAAAGCAAAACAACTGTAATCCCACACTGCTTTCGACACTCAGTTAAAAATTTCTCTATATAGATAATAATGAATTCATTACCTCCTCCTCTACTGAACTGGTCACAGTAGACACTTATCAACCCTTCTGACTGGCTAGGCTTGATGACGTAAACTCCACTCAGAATATATCCAGCGTTGAGTAATTCGATACAGCTTTGATATGCTATGAAATAAAATTCAATAACAGTACGGTGCATGCAAACGCCACAAGCAAATTTATAAATGAAAGTAGGGGTGTGATCCTGAATACATCACCAGAGAATAAGATTAAAGTGTTTTGGGCTGATATAATTGCCGTTAGGAAGTCTCCTTCATCTGTGCTTCCGGCGATTAGAAAAATAGGTCATGACGACCAAATTTACAGAGAAATTTGTCAATTTTGCGACATGTGTTTAGCGGTCATATGGCACGCCATTACGTTTTATGGCCTAAAGTTAGGCAAGGAAGACATCTGGCTTAGAATATGTTAAGATATTGCACAGAACATCCTTTTCCGCTTTTTTAATTTTTTATTTTTTTTTTTGCATAAGGAAAGAAACGAGAGAGAAAATAGTTTTGACGGGAAAAATTGTGGTAGCGGCGTCGGAAGTCACTACTTCATCTGTGTGAGTTTTTTTTCAGGCAACAACAATTTTATTTCTTGCAGCCATTGCTTGATTTTAGTTGATCAATTTGCGACTTTGAAAGTTACGATCTCTGGTTCTTTTGGCGTAAATAGTGACAAAGTGTCAAAAGAATGACGCAAAACGGGTTATACCATCTGACCAGTTCGTATAAGATAGTGGTTTTTGACCTTCGATTAAGCCTCTAATATTTTACATCTTTTCCGTTTTAAACCGTCAAACTGTGCTCTTAGATTGTATTTCTAAAATTATTTGACTGGGACATAACTTTGGTCTATTGCGGCAAATCAAGTGAAGATAATATTTCAAATGCTTACTTACAGATGTTGCAAAGTTTTCCTTGTAGACCCGGCGGGCAGGTGCATTTGAAGTCATACTGGCCTCTCACTGAGTAACAGGTCCCTCCGTTCAAACATGGATCGTTCTGGCAAGGGGACTGGTGAGAGACAACAAAACAAGAAGAAGTTTGTTTTAAATTAATTTTCAAAATCGCCACAAAAAATGTGAATAAGATTGAAAACGCATTTAGGCTGATAAATGTGAAAAGGAGAAAAGCAGTTAATAGGAGGGTTTCAATGGAGTAACGGCTATTACGGCTGACAATTAAAATTTTGATTTTATATCCGTGACTCAAGTATACAATAATTCAGCTGTTTCGTGCCAACGGTGTACCCCGTTGAGACCCTCTTAAAAGAAAACGGCATCAGAATTTTCAGTGCCCGAAAAAAATATAAATGAATCAAAAACAACCGATCGCGTGTTATTAGCCTTTGCCTAGGAATCCTTTTTTAGCCACTGCGATAAAAACTGACGGATTGACAGTGGTCATGGCTTCAGAAATTGTGATCAATACAGAAACTGAAAACAAGACAAATAATGGAGCTTTACTTCTAAACTAAAAACGCCTTAATCAGTTTTCATTTCAAGAAATTGAAGTAGTCAGGTTAAAAACATAGAACAAATTGGTTTTGTCTATGTATACACTTAAAGTATATTAATACAACGCCAGTGTGGCTCCTCGATTGTTTATCACAAATAACGTAGCGTGGTGATGGAAGAAAGAAATTATATATACCAATTCTAGAATATACTTATCATAATTTAGTCATTCATAAACCAGAAATTCGACAATTTTACCTTCAACCTTCCGATAATTTCAAAAGTATTTTTGCGATGACAATGTGCCCTTGGTTTCCAATAATAGAACGAGATTGTTTATAAAAGATCTTACCGTGAAGCTGTAATGGTGAAAATCTCCGCTCACATTGAATAATTGCGGGAAGGTAAACTTATCAGTGTCTAGTAAATAACAGAGAAACCTTCCATCATTCCCAGCGGCTATCTTGAAATTCACAGACTGGCAGTTTGAAGTGTTGATACATCCTAAAAGACATTCCTCTTCGCTTTCAACTTCGTAAGATATGTTTGATGAAGAGTTTAATTGATGGCGACGAAAAGGCACCGGATTACCAAACAAAAAATATCCATCCGAGTAAGAATTCTTGAAATTTGATAACTCGGCCACACTGTATGCGAAGAGAAAACGACATAAAATGAAGAGGAAGCAACTGTAGGTGTTGGCGACATGATTCACTTTCATCTCCACGGAAAATAGGTAGTCTGTGAAGAATGTTCTCTAATTACACGCGTTTGATTAATCAATTTTTCCTAAAGAATAGTATTGTTTTGAAAACATCAATAATTCATTGTCAGATGAATGATTTCCAACAGTGAGGGTGACGCATCTGTGAAGGTGAAGGGTAATGGTCAGCACTCATGTCTTCGTCCAAGGGAAGTGTTGCAACGACTTGTTGTTAAGTTTGTGCGTTTTAATAAATAGCTCTCACACTAAACATAAACAGTATTTTGGCTACTATCAATCTTTGCATGAAAATTTAACACTCTCTACCTTCTTAAAGCTACTACGTAAATGATAGTTAAACATTGTAGGCAGAGAACATACCATTTCAAGGTTAACAAGAATGATAAAAGGATGGTTAACATTTTCCATTTTCAATAAGCGAAAAGGATGGTAAATATTTTTCCATTTTTAGGTACTAAAATACACAAGAAGCACCATAACTAATTTCGAAAACTACCAACCATTTGGCATTTTCCGGTGAAAGAATATGAAATATGAATTTACACATTCAAGAAAACTTTATCTTCTCTTAATGCTTTGTGTGCTATTTTACTAGTTTTCCTAACAATTTTGAGCTTCCCAGTCTCAGACATAAAAGGCATGCCTTGATAACTACATGCCAGGTATTTTTTTCTGAAGTTAAGAGTCAATGTTTTAAACGTTTCTACAACTTACAACATTCAAATGCAATAACAAAGACAATGTAGAGAGCAGAATACGACAAGAAAAAGAAAGAAAGGAATGATAAGAGAAATGCCAAATGACAAAGGCATCCAAAGAACTTCTTAAAGTTAATATGTTGAGACTCACTTTCGGACAAATAAACACCAACACTTTAACTCCTTCACGAGCTAATTTTCTAGGACATTTTTGACGTTGCGAAACAGTCCTCAACTAAAAATGCAATTTGTAAACCTCGATGGACAAAAGAATCCTATTGAAATTCAGTTCAAATTGGCTTGGTCGCATCCAGTGACACATTCCTCATTCTGCTTGTCACGCACAAGAACTATTGTGGTATTGAATTGACTGGTACATTTTTATTACAGAACATTTTATAGCGGATATTATATAAGTAAGTAGAAACCAGGGAACGGGTCAATAAGCAGATGTCTGACTGTGTACATAACTTTCAATGAAATTTGGATAAAAGAATTGCTATTTCAGCCCGTTTGCTGTCCTACCTAAGACAGTGAGTCAGTTATATAGCGCTTCTGAAAGAGTTTGTTGATTTATGAAGATTGTCTTGCATTGATGTGCCAAAAACTTATCTGAGCATCAATTTATAGTCATTCATGTCCATCTCCTGGTGAGTCTTTGGATCAACGAACGAAAACCACAAGAACATCGGCAGTGCCAACATTTTCTAAAAAATAAAAAAGGAAATTTGTG